CGTTTTATGTTATGTTATGTTTACTAAGACCTCTTACATTGTAAATAACTGAATTACAGGTCTGGCCAGCAGAGAATAAAAAAAGCAATAACACAAAATATATAGCCAAGGAAAATTTGATTGTATTAGCAACCAACAAGCATATAATGGCAAAATAATGGCAAAACTAGCACGCGCAATGCATAAAGCGTATTTGAATGAGATGAAGTTCTTAAATCTGATGGTCGAAGTGCCACGGATATTTGAGTTTTTTCAGTTCTTTAGGTCTTCATGCGTAATTACATTGAGTACCTACTATGCGACTACTAACGAGCTTGTACACAGTTTTATCTGATTTAAGACTGATAATAAACCTTTTGCACGCCATGATCCTTCTGTGTTTGAAGTGATTGTAAATCACTCACTTTTAGGGCTTCATTATATGATAACGTAGGAAAAACAATTTGAGGGGCGCGCTTTTGCATTTTTTCGATAGCATCTGACAAATAAAGCGGCAAGTTTTAAAACATAACGTACGCGTATTGTAATATTGATCTTACAGGAGATGTGTAGACTAGAATCGTATCTGAAGCAGGAACCGCAGCGCCCGAGCGACCTGAGCGCGTACAGTCCTCGGTTGGCTTTCTAAAGTCACAGTGTACCGCCCAAGTCAGATCTTCAGCCATGTAAACCCCGAGCAGCTTGAAAGAACTGACATGCTCTAACACGAGGTCGCTTGAGGCAACCGACAACCACTGATAACTATTATTGTGGAGAAAGTCAACCGACATCACCTTGCATTTCGCTGGATTTAGTTTCATATCATTAGCATAAGCAAACTCCTAGACGTCAGACACTATGTAGCTATTAAAGTAATGAGAGGGCATTTCTAGGGACAATCTCAATAGCTATCGCGTCGTCAACATATTTTTCTCGGGGCTACCAGTCACAAAAAAGGTCATCAACCATGATGTTGTCCCCCGAGGATGCCTCCGTTTAATTTCAAAACTGACGATGACGAGGAGGCTAATTTGACAGTTTGTGTCCTGCCTTCGAAGAATGCCGCAATCCAGCACTGATAGCAAGGTTGTATATCGAGAGCAGATTTCTTTTAATCATAATCTGGTGGCCTATGAGATCGAATCCTTTTTTGAAATCAGCGAAGAATCACGAGTCGCCTCGGTCTATAGCTTCCAATATAATGTGCAGTAAATACACCAAAGCATGGTGGGTTGACTTTCCAGAGATAGCAAACTGCTTGGGGTCTAGGTGCGATGTAATACATGGCAGGACTCTCAAGGACTCTCATACAGTAGCTGTATGTGATGAACTTAACAATCACACTTTTTTTCCATTGGAACACGAGCTCGGTACTCCGCATGCGCACATCTCGTTAGAGCCTGTAGCTCCACCCCAGTAGTTATCCGTGCTCCATCATGTGACGCCCACCAGGCATAACGCCATTGAAGGAATGCAACATCATAATTGCGGTTAAAGGCCCATTTCTAACCTTGATGCAACGCGGTCGTTTGTTTTTCTTGTGAACCACCGCTTTTGTTTAAATAGCGCCTCTGAAGTTTGCCATCCTTGTTAAATAGGACCCAAGGGTCAGTTGAAGTTTCCTGTCCGTGGAGAGGAGCTTGCGTTCGAAAGAGTGGTCGAGGTTGTTGTTCATTCAAAGCAGCAAATAAGAATTATAACGCAAACTGTCAGTGTCGCTGACGTTCCTGCAATGAAGTGACTAAACGTCCGGCAGCCGGACACGGTCTTAAAATAATTAAACGTCCGGCAGTCTGATATTTTTCCATATTTCTCTTCGAAATCCAAAAAGTATTTATATGAAAATGTTCTACCTTTATTTACAATCCTCAAGCATTTCCAGGCAGCCTAAAATTTGAACGTTTTTCGCTAACCCTATATACAGAGTACGAAGCTATCCAAGCGCTTGACACACTTTTCAATGACACGGCTGGACACGGTCCTCAAATAATCCCATATTTCTCTTTAAAATATATCAATCTTTCGTTGGAAAATATTCTACCTTCATTTAAAATCCTTAAGAATTTCTAGAAAGTGAAAAATTCGAACGTTGACCGTTTCGCCGACCTTGTACACAGAGTGCGAATAGATCCAAGAGTGACAGTGAGAAAATTTTCACCGGACACTACCGGACACGGTCTTCGAATAACTACGTCCGGCAGTCTGATATTTTTCCATATTTCTCTTTGAAAAGTACCAATTTTTTATTGGAAAATATTATACCTTTATTTCGAATCCTCAGGCGCTTCTAGAAAGTCAAAAAATTCGAACTTTGTTCACCGAGCACAAAGAGATCCAAGCGTGACACTTAAGAAGAATTTTCCTTCGGATTCTATCGGACAAAATTCAAAATACTGTATATAAGCTGTAAAATGACGAACGGCGAATGTATCTACCATAAAACAGTTGACTATATGTCCAGGATGGCTTTAGAGAAAGACGATTTTAGAAGGTTGTCAGTAATCTGGGAATTTCGTGTTACAGAAATTGGGTCGAGGCGCGCGTTGCATCAAGCGTGAAAATGGGCATTTAAACCAGATAAACTATCTAAAATTTTGTGAGACTCGAGTGAGTGCTGCCAGCTGAGCGGTGCTGACTCTAGATGAACTATCTATGCATTGTGACTTTTATCAACATAGATTCTGACTGTCGCGACTGATGGTGGTCACGCCAACTCTGCTCTTGTTATTCATGTCACAAAACACATTTAAGGGTGGCCTCCTTTGCTGTAAGGGACAATCACGTAGATTTTTAAAGATATTCCTCTATTGCGTGTGCGTATTTCACTACAATAGCTAAAGGGTCATTTTCTAAATCGAAACCCAGAACTTACTCTTATAGAGCGATGAGAATTTCTGGCGATATAAGTGTAGGATCAAGCGTCGTTGGGATAAACGTTTTAAGAAGCAAAAATCCGTCTCGAAGAAGGATACGATCTGAAGGGAGAACCCCCCCCTACCCTCTGCCAAACGATTACTCTTGCTCCTTGTGCATGGAAATTCACAATCAAAACATCCGAAATGTTTGCTAAAAGTTTTTGGAGGAAGTAGAGTAAACATGAGTTGCTCCAGCTCCATGACTTGCACAATGGCAAAGTACTTGCTTAATAAGTTGTTTACAGAACATGATATGTAGTCTCAACCTTCTGTTTTAGTCATATGGATTATTCCTATCTGCCATTTAGAGCTCTTGATCTTTCTTTTGACATGTGACCGACTGCCACGTGACTGTTGTAATTGGCTGACCAATAGCTTAGCAAAAAAAAAAAAAATCATGATCACTCTATCAAGTTAAAGAACAAAAAAAGTTAGGTTTTCAAAATCTCTTAATTCTAAAAGTCCTAACTTACAACTAATTTGACTAAAATTCAGAAAGATTAATATTTTTTTGTTTCCAGGTTCAGTACCTCCTGCTGCACTGTAGTTAGCTGCTGTACTGTATATGTTAAAATGTGGTCTTATGCCACACCATAACACTTAAGTTTTCCTAATGTATGATATCCTTCTTCATGATATTCATCCAAGTCTCCGAGTCTGATTTGGGTAACGGGGAGAACAGACTTGTCTGTCAACAGACCGCTGTCTTCTCTCCAGCCACTGTCATTACGATCGTTGTAACAATTACACTTTTTGCCATTGGAACAAGAATTTGTTACTCCGCATGCGCACATCTTATCAGAGCCTGTTGCTCCTCCCCAGTAGTTCATCCTTTTTCCATCACGTGACACCCACCACGCGTGAAGTTGCTCGATAAAAGTTACGTCATTGTTGCACTCGAACTTGATAAACTGTTCACAGTTCAGTGAGACCCGTGTGAGTGCTGCCAGCTGAGCGGTGCTGACTCCAGTGTATCGCACATCTTTTCTGTAACATCCGGGAGGGCCACATCTGACCGATTTTTGACCAACGTGAGTTCTTCTCTCACTATCATGACTGATAACTGTCACGCCCTCTCTGCCTTTGTTACTCATGTCACAGTACACATCGAAGGGTGTCACGCCTCCTTTGCCATCAGGGTCAATCATGTAGGTGCCTGAAGATGTTAGTCCATACTGTGTTTTTATGTCACTACAAGAGATTGGTATTCGAATTTCAAGCACAGTAGTTGCAGTAACAGAGCGATAAAAGTCTCTTGCGATGCAAGTGTAGGATCCAGAATCGTTGGCAGAAACATTTTTTAGAAGTAGGGAGCCATTTGAATAAAGGATATGACCTGAGGGCAGACCTTGGCCTGTCCGCTGCCACACGACTTCTCTTGCTCCTTGTGCTTCGCAAGTCAGTAACACATTTTCTGAAGGTGGGGCTGAACGTTGATGGGGTGGGAGTAGTGTAAACCTGAGTTGGTCAAACACCATGACTTGTGTATGGGCTGAGTCCTCGTTAAGAATGTTCTTTGCCGAACATATGTAGTCTCCACCGTCTGTTTTACTCACATTGATTATTTCCAGTCTGCCATTAAGAACTCTTGATCTTTCGTTGGACATGTGACCGACGGCTTTTCGCCACGTGACCGTTGGTGTCGGCTGACCAGTAGCTTGGCAGACTAGACTTACTTTGTGTCCTTCTTCAACGATAACAGATGAGGGTTTTTGAATGATTGATGCACCAACTAAATGAAAAACCGAGAGGTGGATTTAAATCCGAGAGAGAAAACTTGAGAATTAAACATTTTGTTTCTTTCTCTTGAAGTCGCCTTGTTCCATCAAAACGCAAAAATATGATTTATGCTCTACCTCAGTTTATTTCGGAAGAGCACAAAAAATATACTGCGTGATGGATTTTTGTGAGTCGAGTGTGAATGGTTTTTTCTTACCTTGAACAGTCAAATTAGCCAATGACGTCATAACCCCAAGAATATTTCTCGCTTCACAGGTGTAGGTTCCATCATCTTTTAACGTGACGTCATTGATAACCAGGCCACCACCAGTTGACACGATTCGTTTATCCGCGAGAAGACTGGAGTTATCTCTCAGCCATGTGACTTTAGGCTGTGGATTTCCTTCAACCTCACACTGAAACGACGCTGTACCAGTTTCGTTTACAACTATAGACATGGGAGGTGTCACAATAGAGGGCGCTGAGATTGATTGACCAGGCTCGCCCTTAGCTCCAAGAGGGCCCATGGGTCCGGGAGGTCCTTGAATGCCCTGAGGGCCCTGGTTTCCTTTAGGTCCCTTTACTCCTTGTGGCCCGGGTGGTCCATGTTTACCTGGAGGGCCTCTTTGACCAGGTTTGCCCCGTCTTCCCCTGATGCTCTTGGGACAATTAACACTGCAGGCCTGGCTCTTGATAGCGAGTCGTACTTCTTTTCTGATCGCTTCACGATCGATGGTTACGCTGGCGTTTGATCTCCCGTCTGTATTTTTCACTTGCCTTTTATTACGAGTTTGAAGCTCTGCAAGAGACATCACAGTATAAGTTCGGCTACGTTCCACTTATCTCATTAGGACACTTCTAAGATGCATAATATCTCTGCTTTAAAGCGCGGGAAACTTCGGAACCTTTTGTAGATAAAATAATTTTAAGCCCCGAAAATTGCCTATTCTTGAAGTCTCGATTTCCAGCAGCTGCTTCAGAAATCAGTGGACTCGACATAGGGACAGAACGTGAGCCGAAACTAGAGATTATTTTCGTTAACTCGCTGACGTCATGATTTGTCAGCTTTATATCCTTTGAAATAGGAATGATATGCACTTCAGTAAAAAGATGACAAAAGCGATGCTTCTAAATATCAAGAACTTTGCGTGACCTCTTGAGTTTCGTCAGCGGACCTTCTTTGTCTTGAGAGATTCTAAAGTCATGAGAATTTTCTCCCTTTAAAAGCTAAGAAGATCACAATAACAATAACAATTTTCTTGGGTTGAGAGCTACTTGATTGACGATTCAGAGATATTCACAAAAGAAAGATAAGACGAAAATACAGACTGAATTTCAAATGAAAACCTTCAAAATTGCAGATAGACTTTCATAAAGTTACTCAGCATCTGCACTGAGTGATTCTTAATTAAAGGTATATTTTACACTGAACTGTGATAAGCCGTTCTACCGCTTCTTGAGATTTTTTTAGTTTAAACCCACCTTCATTTGGGTAAGGATATAAAATATTCATTTCAGTCGGCTTTTCGTCATTTGCTAGGTTCTTCAGCTCGAGTTTCTCTTCTTTTGGTTGATTCAAGACCTGAAGCATTTGTCGATGAGCGTGAAGCTCGATCTCGACGTGAATCAGTCCCGCGATGCAAACAACGGAGAGAAATAACGATGAAAACACCAGAGAGTTAGAAACTGGCTTTGCCTTTGATTTCTCCATAACACGGAACGGGAGGCGAAACTGTGGTAAGATCTGTCGAGCATGAAAATAGCTTCTTCAAACTGCAACGCATGTATTTATAATCACAGCGAGACATTACGTGTAGGTATGGAGTTCTTGCCCTTGAGTGACCTTTTCCTTTTGGTATCAGCTTGCACTGGTCACGTTTCATTAATTTTTTTCAATCAAAGCTTTATCAGTTTCCACAAGAACTACCCCGGTCAGCTTAGGGTTTGCAATTGCAATTGTGACAATGTCACAGTCGTTTGGATGCAACCGTGTTCTGAATATCTTTATTGAGGAAAATTATTGGCTGATGTAACGTGGAATTGACGTTGTTTTTCCTGTTCAGAGGGTGTCAATGGGGTGATGGCTTTTACTGCTAACGGTTAAAGTTTTGGCCATTTTACGGCTAACAGTTAACATCTTTTCATTGTTTCTATCAGACGTATTTTTTACGGTTAAATTTTTTTACAACTTACGGTTAAAATTTGTCAATTTTTACGCCTAACGGCTAAAGTTTAAGGCCGTTTGATGGCTATCGGTTAACCACATTGAGGACCTCTGTTCAAGGAGTCACGACGTGCTTACCAGAAAAGGAATAACGATTCAGGATTTCTAGAGCCTTAGACTTCAGATTAGTCCACTTCTTTATTTGACTTTTCAAATATTTATCTTTCAATGGATGCTGACAAAGAGTCAGGAACTGCTTCTTTTCCCGTACCCAAGCCTCTCTCACGGCTTATATGTTGATCATGACAGATAATAGATTGGAAGCCTTCCTTCCTTAGTTTAGTCCAAGGCTAAAATAGGGTCATACAAACAACGAAAAATGCTGTTTTTGATGGTATTGAAGTCTGCTCTGTTTAGATGATTATTTCTAGTATTCCAAATGCTATGCTTAACTTGTATAAGGTAATTAAAAAGTTACCTCCAATTTCTAGAGCTTTGGGAGCGCCATGTTAGGGATGTCACTGGTAGGAAAGACGTAAAGAATGGCATTAGCTGCTTTACACCGATTCGAGTACTTTCACTAATAAAAAATTAGTTTTTTGTTTTGTTTGAAATGAAGGTTAAAAAAACAAAACAAAAACTGCTTGGGTCGACAGCCATTTGCTTTAAGATATAAAGGTATTCACGAAAGAACGAAGAGACGAACGTTTAAACGAATTTTAAATGAAAACTTTCTAAATTAAAGATAGACTTTTCAACTTTTTAACGTTACTCACGATCTGCATCGTCCTACCGTTTTAAGTGTTTTGCGCATAAACTAACCTTTATGCGAGTAAGGGAATAACATGATCATCTCATTCGTGTTTTCGTCGTTTGCTGTGTTCTTCAGCTCGACTTTCTCTTCTTTTGGTTGACTCAAGGCTTGAAGCATTTGACGATGAGCGTAAAGCTCGATCTCGACGTGAATCAGTCCCGCGAAGCAAATAACGAAGAGAAATAACGATGAAAACACCAGCTTGTAATGAGCTGGGCTCATCTCTGATTTCTCCATAACACTCTTTACCTTGGCGAGGTTGCAAGAGAGTAAAGTCTTTGTTTATGAAAACTAAATAAACCTGGGCCTATGTAATCAAAAGGGATTCATAAAAAATACGCAATGCGTTTTGGTCATCTATTCCTTCAGCCTGATCCTTTGTTGTTTCCTCAACTTTTATAGTATTGATTCAACTGCATGTGACCGGTTTCAGTTTTCATGCCAACAAGTTTTTAGATTGTTGATGAAGAGTTAGAGGTCAGGTGAGGAATTAATTTTAGAAACAATCTTGTTTTGATTTTGACTCGGCTAATTCTGAGAAAGACTCTACTGAAAAAAAGAAAGAAAAATCTGCATTGAATTGTCCCAACCTACTTCTGGAACTTCTTTATTTCTCTAGTTACCTCCAGACTTTTCAATCAGACGGGAAGAGTATATCATGCTTTGGCGACGAAGGGAATAAGACCTTGAAAAATTCAATTTCTTTACTTTTCACAAGAGTGCTGGGCTTTTCCATTAAGCGTGAAATGTCAGGGATATTGCATTTGCAAAAGCCACCCATAAAACGAAATTAAACTTTGAACTTTGAAATAAGACCACCACGTCCATCAATAGGTGATTGCTCATGTTATTGTTGAGCAACGTGCTAATGAAAGTTTTCAGTCAAAACAGCAACATCTGAAACAACAAGGGTTTTGTTTTACTGGTGAAACCTTTTTCGTTTTATTACACGTTAACATTACCTTATGGAGACGCCACGTCAACAGTATTACCCAGAAAAACACAAAAGTATAAAGCAATATTTCTTTCTTAATCAGCTCTGGTGTTTCCCCAGGCCATATGAATTATTCGACAATCACACCTGTCCATTTTTTTCTCATCCAATCCCTTCCGCTCTCGCTAACCTAAACTTGTCGAGCAGAATATCTACGCAAGCGTATTTCCAGATTCCGTGACAGCATTCTTTTGCACCACTAAATTAAGAAGCGTTTTGAGGGGATTTAACAGAAGTTATTCAACTCACCTGTAAACTTCCTTGGCCTATTACTTAAATAAAAGAAGACATGTAAATAAAAAAGAATAAGAAAGATTCTTTGCAAGCGAACGTTTTTCAATAATGTGGGGTTACAAAATTGATTGGTTCCTAACAGTTCCAACACAGCTATATATGATGAAACTTAACAATTCCATTTTTCCCGCTGGAATACAAGCGCAACACTCCGCATGAGCACATCTAGTCCATTACGTGACACTCACCAGGCATAACGCCATTGGAGGAATGCAACATCATTATTGCGCTTAAACTTGATCAACTGTTTACAATTTTGCGAGACTCGAGTAAGTGCTGCCAGCTTAGCGGTGATGACTCTAGATGAACCATCTACGTATTTTGGCTTTTAGCAACATAGATTCTGCTCTCACTGTGGTGACTGATGGTGATCACGCCAACTTTGCTCTTGTCAGTCATGTCACAGAACACACTTAAAGGTGGCCTTCTTTGCCATCAGGATCAATGACGTAGGTATCTGAAGGTGTTCCTCTATTGCGTGTACTTATTTTACTACAAGAACTAAAGGTTGATTTTCTAACTTCAAGCAGAGTACTTGCTCTTATGGAGCAATGAAAATTTCTCGCGATACAAGAGTAGGATCAAGCGACAGATAAAAGATGAGGGTTTTTGGATGATCAGCGCAACAGCTAAATAAAAAACCAAGAGATAGAAAAAGGTGAGAAACTGGCTTATTGAACACAGCAGTCAAACGTCTGTGCACGAGCGAACGTTGTAATGCCCTTCAGGCATTCATGAGCGCACAGTCACAACGAATTTTCAGTTACAGTAGTTGCAAAATACCACCTAATTTAACTAATCACGGTTTTTTATAACTGCATAACGTTTTTGGTGAAGCTCAAGAAAAAACGATAAATCAATAGGACACCCATATCCTATTGTAATTAATAATCATCGCATAACTAAATATTTCTCTAGAGTATTGTGGCTTGACGCTTTAACTATGCTATAAATATGGGCATTTGAATTTGCGCTCAAACCCTTTCAGTCCGGGCGTGAACTCCATTGAAAATCGACGCTCCCAGGTAGACGAGCTGGATGCCATTTTTCTTTTTTCGTTTTCTTCAGTAAGAGTATCCATTAAAGAGATTTGGTCAAACCTACTTTCATCTGAGTCAGTGCGAAGAATTTTGTCTCTTTCGTCCTCTGTTGTGTTTTGCAGTTCGAGTTTTTCTTCTTTTGTTTGACTCAAGTCTTGAAGCATTTGTCGATGAGCGTGAAGCTCGATCTCGACGTGAATCAGTGCCGTGAAGCAAAGAAAGAAAGAAATAACGATGAGAACACCAGCTTGGTATGAACTGGGTTCATCTTTAATTTCTCCATAACTGATTTGCGAGGTCACGAGATCTCGGAAAAAGAAGTCTTCTTTGGAAGGACAATCTTCTAAGTTGTGTATTTGCAATCAATATGAAGACACGGAAAAAAACGAAAAAGCGGAAGGCACTGTCATCACCATTAACTTGACATAATCGTGGTTTCCTGTTGGGCAGCTTTTCTGCCCTCAAAATCTACATATATATCTAGTTATTCACCAAAGAAAACCGTTCTTTCGTCATTGGAATGGAATGGAGCGGGCATAAAATAATCAAATGTGACTCTGTAAACAACAATGTCGTATCTAATCAGGTATTAGGGGATGAGCAGCATGATTGTTTGACGGGAAATTAGTACCCACGGATTGTTATACAACGGGAGCAAGTCTTGATTCCCACACAGAATTAATACATCCAGATGCGAACGTCCTTCGCTAACAAATGCAGCTTTTTTTGTCACCTTAAGTTAAGTAGATCATAAAACGGAACGTGTAACGTTGAATTATAAAGAATAAAGTCAGAATTGAGCAAAAGGATACGCTATTGAACCAGCTTGTGCTGAACATCTCTCTTACAGTCCTAACACAAGAGAGGAAATTCTGCGAAATATCCTTAGTGTTTACAGGATAAGATTCCACTACTACTTAGTTTCGTCTGATTTCAGTCTTTATGACAGTGCGTTTTTAGGTTCCTCAAGACTAGTCAAAGGTCAGGTAAGTAATTAATTATAGAAAAAAAAATTTAATTCGATCTCGACGCGACTATCAAACTTTGAGAAAAACCCATTTGGGAACTGATTGCAAAAAATTAGCAATGAGTGACCTGAACCAGCCTTTTAAGCTTTCTCCCGCTATTTACACAATAGTACTAGAATTTCAACGGGAGGGACGAATATGTACTATTGTTTCGATAAAAGCCTCTTACGAAAAAAAGAGTCGCTTTTGAAAACTCTGCTTGCCGGCTGAAAGCGTTACGCCATGATATGCCATTGAGCGAGATCAAATCTAGTTGCCGATAACATTTTTATTTAGGTCAATGCAACACAGAGCAGAATCTACAAGGTTTTCTTGCAGTTAAGCGATTGACGTGGTTTTACGTGAGAGTTTCTTTAAACATGAATTCCCTTCAACAT